CGCTCTACCACGCCCAGCTGATTTTTGATTTATTGTAGAGATGAGGTCTCGCTGCCCAGGCGGGTCTTGAACCCGCGGACTCAGGCAATCCACTCACCTCAGCCTCCCAAAGGCGCGGGATTACAGGCTGAGCCACCGAGCCCAGCTTATATCTGTATTTTTGAGAACTTGTGGGCCGCCATACTAAAGATTTTAGATTTTTACTAGAACCATGACTGGATTTGCATGGTGTTCTTTTGTTAAAAAGCAAATACATATATGTACATATATTGAATTTTATCATGCAATCTAGGAACAATTTTAGGGATAGAAAATTTGACCCTATAACATGTATACAAAATTAAATGGTGACTTTGAGCATAACTGTAACAACAGTTATAACCAAAATTAATTAGGCTGTTTTAAGGGGACTATCAAATGTTCCTTTTCTACTTTTTCTAATGTTCTGTCATCTGTTAGTGGACTAATGATACTAGGAGCTAATATTTTAACAAAACTTTATAAGAAAAAAATTGTTTATTCACTTTTCCTTTGAATTGGGAAGACCACCATTACTCAATTCTGAGGATATCTAGAGACCAGCTATGGAAAGTATCAGATTCCTTGCTGTCAGCCAATTTGCAAGTTTTACCTACAGCTGTGTCCTGTTTTTTTTTCTCTCCGAATTTTGCGTTTTTTGTTAACATTTAAATATTGGTACATTTCACACAAAAATCTAGAATTTGATCATCTCCTAAAAAACTGCATGTTGTGGCATTTAAAAAAAATTTCTTTCTTTTTTTTTTTTGAGTTGGGATCTCACTCTTTTGTCTAGGCTAGAGTGCAGTGGCATGATCATGGCTTGCCCCAGCCTCACAATTCTGGGCTCAGACAATCCTCCTGACTCAGCCTCCCAGGTAGCTGGGACTGCAGGTGCCTACCGCCATGCCCAGAAAGATATTATAGATGCCACTGTGTATGGTTGTGCAGAAACATCATAGGGTTTCCATTCATATATTCAGGTTGAATATCTCTACTGAGAAAATCCAAAATCTGAAGTGTTCCAAAATCGGAAGCTTTGAGCACTGACTTGATGTGACGGGTAAAAAATTCCACATCTGACTTTGTGTAATGGGTTGCCGCCAAAATGCAGGTGCATGACAGTTTATTCAGCATCCTCAAGGGGAAAATAAAATACCTTCAGGCTATGAGTATAAGGTGCTTATGAAACATAAATGGATATCTCTTCATGTACAAGAGGGGACCTGAAAAACCCAAAAATTATTTATAAAAAATTGTGTAGTCTTACATGTTTAAACTCCAGTCACCTCCAAAGTACTTTCCATTTGATGCAATACATATATCGAGATGCTTTCTCTACTTCTCAAAACAGTTTTTGAACTCATCAGTTTTGATGCCTTTTAGTGCTTCTGTCATTTTTTTGTTTCACCCCTTTCACATTGGCAAAACATTTCCCTTTCAGTACTTTTTTTCATCCAGGGAAACAAAAAAAAAAGTTGCTTGGGGCGAGATCAGATGAATATGGAGTTTGGAGGGTTGGGGCATGCTGTTTTTGGTCAAAATTGCTGAACACTCAGTGTGATATGGGCGGGTGTGCTCGTAAATCACCCATCATGAAATGGTCAAAATTGCTGAACACTCAGTGTGATATGGGTGGGTGTGCTCGTAAATCACCCATCATGAAATAGGCAAATGCATTGAAACCTCCGAAAACAAATTCACTGAAGTTTAACACAGCCTGTCACAACACTAGCTGGTACACTGATGCTGATGGGTTCTTAGAACACTTAACCTAGCTGGGGAAACCTGTACTTCAAGGGACCTGCCCTCCAAAAAAGTAATTCTTTTTTTTAAGTCCTCCTCATATACATAAATGATTATCCCAAAGTCCAAAAAATTATTCAAAATCTAAAACACTTCTGGTCCAAAATGTTTCAGATAAGGGTTACTCAAACTGTCTTTGTCTAGATGAAGGATGATACTTACCTGGACTATAGTTGTTGGGACAGAGAAGATGGAGAGAGAGGTGGGCAGATTTCAGAGATATTTAAGATTTTTTTTTTTTTTTTGAGTAGGAGTGTTACTCTGTCACCAGGGCTGGAAGGCAGTGGCATGCTCCCGGCCACCGCAGCCTCAACCTGCTGGGCTCAGGTGATTCTTCCACCTCAGCCTTCCAAGTAGCTGGAACTACAGGCACACACTATCATGCCTGACTAATTTTTTGATTTATTGTAGAGATGAGGTCTCGCCGAGTTGCCCAGACTGGTCTTGAATGTGTGGGCTCAGGCAATCCTCTCACCTCAGCCTCTCAAATTGCTGGGATTATAGCCGTGAGCCACCATGCCTGACGTGTTTGTTTATTTGGAACTGGAGTCTCTGTCACTTGGGCTGGAATACAGTGACATGATCATGGCTACCAAAGCATTGACTTGCTGGGCTTAGGCAATTTTTCTACCTCAGACTTCTGTGTAGCTGGAACTACAGACACACACTAGCTAATTTTTTGATGTATTGTAGAGAGAGGTCTCACCGTGTTGTCCAGGCTGTTCTTGAACTCTGTGCTCAAGCAGTCCTCTTGCCTTGGCCTCCCAAAGTGCTGGGATTGCAGGTGTGAGTTACTGGCACCCAGCCAGTTTAAGCCCTATTTAAAATAAACTTAATTCTGTGTTAAATTAATCATATTTGTTCTGTTTTTAGAACTACATATAAAACCAGTTTATTAAACCAACCAGTACAGAGTCCTGAGTTTTACTTTTGTTCCAGATTTGGCTAGGGCCATTAGTAAGATATCATTGTCTACCTTTATTAACTTTATTTCTGATTATAAGTATACTTTTAAAAGGTACTTATTTCAGTGGAGCAATTTCATTAGCTGTAGAAGATTTACTGCATGATGGATTTATGTTCAAGGCACTGAAATAATACATATATATTTTTATGTATATATAAGTATAAATAAGTATTATATATAAATTTTTTTTTTTAATTTTTGAATCAGGGTCTCACTCTGTTGCCCAGGCTGGAGTGCAGTGGCATAATGACAACTCACTACAGTTTCCTGGGCTTAGGCAGTCCTTCTGCCTCAGTCTCTTGAGTAGGTGGGACTATAGTTATGTGCCGCCATGCCTGGCTTATTTTTTAAATTTTTTTGTAGAGGTAAGATCTTGCTGTATTGCTTAGGCTGTAGGCTGGTCTTGAACTCCTGGGCTCAAGCAATCCTCCCACCTCAGCCTTCCAAGTGTTGGAATTACAGATGTCAGTCACTGCACCCGGCCACAGATTTTGTTGACAAAGAATGCTTCTTCTTTATATTCAAATGCTAACCAAATTTACCTTTATACTTCAGGACATTAAATCTGTTGACTTTTAGATTTCTATAACTTGGTTTCTTTTAGTGTTACTTTTCAAATGCAGTATAGTTGTTCCTCAGTATCCGTGGGGGCCTTGGTTCCAGGAACCCCTAAGAATACTAAAATCCACAGGTGCTCAATTTGCTTATACAGCATGTTGTAGTATTTGTATGTAACCTATGCACCCCCTCCTATATGCTGTACTTTAAATCATCTCTAGATTACTTATAATACCTAATGCAGTATAAATAATTGATGTACTGTATTGTTTAGGGAATAATAAGAAAAACAGTTTGTGCCTGCTCATACAGATGCAGCCAACCTTTTCTCTCCCCTCTAAATAATTTTGAGTGTGGTTCGTTGAATCCATGGATGCTGATCCCATGAATACGGAAGGCAGACTGTGCAAGTCTGTCAAAAACCAAAGTTCTGGCTGGCTAATTGGTCACTATGATTTGTAGTATAGGTGCTATTACTTCTAATTCTAGATTGTAAGTGTATTTCACTCCTTTAATGGTTATTTTTGTTCTTTGATTTCTATGCTATCAGGTTTATTTCTGCTTTTAATATATTTTTGCTTAGACATGGCACTTCCAAAGTTTGAAAAACTAGATTTATTAGAAGAGCTAGTAGTGCTTCTTTTCTATCATATTTAATACATGTAGGGTAAATTAGTGCTATGTTTTAGATAATAGAAGTTTACAAATGTAGTTGTTAACTTTAAAAAGTTATTAGAAATAACCATTTTCCTTAACACAGTTTTCATTCAGTTTAGCTCTTTTGTGCTACTACTTTTTGAAATTAGTATTTGTGTGAAAGACAAGATAATGTGATGAGGATTCATTGTAAAGAAGAGTATTTGTTCTTTATACAGAAAATATCAGGTTTGTTTAATATTTAACTGATTAGAGGCAAATACGTTTCATTTTTTAACTTACAAAATTATTTCTTTATTTTAGCTTCCTCAAGAGCTGATGAACAACTGATTTTTTTTTTTTTTTTTGGACAAATATTACAACAGTGTGTGGAGGAACTCAATATACTATATAAAAATGGCACTGAATTTTTAGGTAGAAGTGGCATCTAAACACATGGTTTACAAATTGTATCTGGGCAAGTTAGTATAGGAGAAAAGTGGATTCACTGGAAGGCTGCCACACATTTTTTTTTTCCAGTTTTAATGGTTTCTGCTTTTAGCATGAGTTGAAGAAAGTTTTTTTCCTTCACTCAGTTTTATTTCTGTTTTTACTACCCATTTGAGAAGCAGTTTCTCTATGAGACAAATCTTTGACCCTTTTGTGTTCTGTCCCCACCCTTGACTAGAAAATGCAGCTGCACACATTTTTTGTTTAGAAACAATGGATCACTTGCTGTGTCACCTAAATCTATGACCAAGAGGCAGTTTTAGCCCTAAGTGACCATAATGCTTCAGTTGTCCTGGATATATGACATCATATAGCATTATAATAACTTATACATCTTTTTTGCAGTACTTTTGGGATTTGAATCTACCCTCTAATCTCAATATTGGATTTTAGGAAATTCACAATTATTTATAATGGAGAATCTTAAAAATGTATTATTGAATTAATAGGAAAGGTTACAAATTTCTTCCTTTTATGTGTCTTATTTTTTCTTACCTGAGAGATCACCAAGATCTTTAGATTTCTGAGATGATAGAATGTCTTTAAAGCTCTAGTGGTTGTTAGGTTTGTTACAATGCCTTGCAAATAGAGTGTGTTCAGTAAAAGTTAGACTTTATTTTTACTACCAACTCGGCACATTAACAGAAAGAGAATTGTTTTCATTTTTAAAAAATGAGGAAGTATTCAAATTTAGAAATTATTAGTATCTATAAACTGCTAAAATATTTTTTTAAGCTTATTATAATAAACTTCGTATACTTTTTAATATATCTGGGAAATATGCTGTGGTTTCCAGTCTTGAGATAACAACAACAACAACAACAACAACAACGAATGTGGCTCATTCCTAAAGAGAGGAAGATTGAATGGCAATTTCTTTTTTATTATATGTTAAATCTTAGTGGCAGAGGTAAATCACAGTGAAGAATTGAGATAATTGTGAGGCAGCTTCGATAAAAATCACAATCATTTGAATTTTGGGGCTGTGTCATAGCTCTGTAGTAAATTTTTTTTACATTGTTTAGTGGTCTGAATTAAGTGATTGCCTATTTCTCTTTGCTAGGGTTATCTTAACCTAAGCCGTGTGTGTGTGTGTGTGTGTGTGTGTGTGTGTGTGTGTGTGTGTGTATTTGTGTGTTTGTAACTTTAAAGTGATTGTATGAGAAGGCTACAAATATGAGATGGTGTCTACTTTCTGGTTCTTTTGACATTTGTGAAATTGCTCGATTTGCTGATGACATTATGTACTTGGGGAGGGTGATGAGATAGCAAGTACATAAAAAGTTTCCAAATGCCTGAAGACAACCTAAGAAGCTTAGAAATTGCTGGATGTGGTGGCTCACGACCGTAATCCCAGCACTTTGGGAGGCAGAGGCAAGAGGAATGCGTGAGTCCACGGTTTCAAGACCAGCCTGGGCAACATAGCAAAACCTCGTCTCTTAAAAAAAAAAAAGAATTAGAAATTGTAAACTTTTAATCAAAAAAATCCTATTCGTGCATGCTTCAGGTATTCGAGTATATAATGAGACTGATTTTAAGTAGGAAACTAGAATAGTCAGTCAGAATGGTGAGAAACAATGTTATCTGTAAGTCAGATGCTGCCATATAGTTTGAAGTTAATCCTCCCTTTCTTTAATCTTAGGAATGGCTGTAGCCTTCTTCGGGGCTTCTTGGTACGATTGTTCAAGTGTTGGTTTCAACTTCTTTCCATTTCTAGTAGAACATAACAGATGGTGTGGCTCTTTTTCACTCCACTGTAGTAAAAGCTTATTAGAAGCAGCAAAATTGATTTTCTTCATTTACCCTTGTTGGATAATGAGGAAAGAAATATTCAATGACTAGCTCAAGGGTACAAGGAAAAAATAAATTGGAATAAGTTTGCTTTGGGGTATAAAGAATTGACTAGCATATTTTATTTTGATCTGAGTCTTTTCTCAGTGCTATTTTTTATTTTCTAGTAAGTATTCTTAAATAATAATGGTCTAAATGTAGATTTTAACAATTAAAAAACTGCTTAGAAACAGTAACAGATTTAGAGCTGTAAGAACTATCATACAGATAAAATAGAAAACTTAATTAAAATTAAAAATATAGCATGTAGGACAGATTCAATGATAGAATTTTAGACTGGGCATGGTGACTCATGCCTATAATCCCAGCACTTTGGGAGACCCAGGTGAGAGACTTGCCTGAGCCCACGGGTTGAAGACCAGCCTGGGCAACTTGGTGAGACCTCTTCTCTACAATAAATCAAAAAATTAGCTGGGTGTGGTGGCGCGTGCCTGTAGTTCCAGCTACTTGGAAGACTGAAGCGGAAGGATTGCCTGAGCCCAGCCGGTTGAGGCTGCGGTGGCCATGAGCATGCCACTGCCCTCCAGTCTGGGCGACAGAGTGAGACTCCAACTCAAAAAAAAAAAAAGAATTTAAAAGTACTTTTTAAAAGTATTGAACACATTTTATATTTTTATTTTATTTTATTTGAGTTGGAGTCTCACTCTGTCGCCCAGGCTAGAGTACAGTGGAATGCTTATGGCCACTGCAACCTCGACCTGCTGGGCTTAAAGTGATCCTTTTGCCTCAGCCTTCCAAGTAGCTGGTACCACAGGCACCTGCCACTACACCCGGCTAATTTTTTGATTTTTTGTAGAGTGGCAGTCTTGCCATGTTGCCCAGGCTGGTCTTGAACCCTGGATTCAGGTAATCCTCTCGCCTCCCAAAGTGCTAGGATTACAGGCGTGAGCCACCGCACCTGGCTGCATTTTATATTTTTAAATGAATACATTTAAAAGTATTAAACACATTGAGTTAATTGTAGTTATTCCTTATTTGCTATGGATCTGTATAACTTATTAAAGTATACACTAAAAAACTTTTCATTTCTTTGGTCTTAAATAAATTTGATATTCATGAACTTATTTTAATGTGCCATAGATACTGTGCTGAAATTCATAATATAAGTAAAATATCTTGAAAGTAGAGAAAAAATTATTATTTTGAGTATTTTAACTTAATGATTTTTTAATAAGAATTTTGAAACAGGACATTCGATTCTAAATTAGTTGGATCTAAAACAGTGTAACTGTATATTCAGATATTTATATTCCTGTCTTGCTTTGATGATTCTATTATGTCTGTTGCCATGTCCTTTTTTTTTGAGTTGAAGTCTCACTCTGTCAACTAGACTGGAGTGCAGTGGCCGCTCCCGGCCACCGCAGCCTCGACTTGCTGGGCTCCGACGATCCTTCCGCCTCAGCCTTCCAAGTAGCTGGAACTACAGGCGCGCGCTACCACACCCGGCTAATTATTTTTGATTTATTGTAGAGATGAGGTCTCGCCAAGTTGCCCAGGCGGGTCTCGAACCCACGGGCTCAGGCAATCCACTCACCTCAGCCTCCCATAGCGCTGGGATTACAGGCTGAGCCACCGAGCCCGGCTTCTCTTTTTGTTACAGAGAATGGCATCAATAGTGAAAATGCAAAATTTTTTATTTCAGAGGTAGTGCAGTCATTTTCTTTCTTTTTTTAGAAAATTAGTTTATTTAGAAAGTAAATTAGAGAGAGAGGAGATTCACCTCCGTAAGGTAGGGGAGGGGGTCAAAGCTAGGAAACATGGCGATCATAGCTCAAAGAGACACATGTCCACATGAGAGTTTACCAAAGCCATGGCCATTTTCTTTATTTTTAACAGATTATTTTGTGTGCCTGAGACCATTGGCATCAAGCAGAGCTGTTAGCAAAGGACTTTTGATCTTTTTTGAACCATTAGTAGCTAAACACTAAAAATTCTGAAAGTTTATATGTTTTAAGTTCTTTTAGATTATTTAAGCTACAGAGATTTGGAGAATTCTGCTATGTGGCGTGATTGGCAGATAAAGTGTGTGGAAACATAAGGAAGTTGAAAGTCGAATCATAAAGAAAATGATGAAACACCTGTTGCAACCCTCTTCTGAGAAGTCCTAATTTCAGTTGCATTGTCACTGGGTGTCTTTTGTCGTGAGAAAGATCCATCTTTAATAATAGGATTTTTTTTAAATTTCAGAACTTGAAAATATAAAGCATTGTTACTGATTTTGTACCCTAATTTTTGTATTTGAAGGTTACAACACTTGTATATCTACTACTTGAGGAAGAAATTTAAAAATTTATGACAATAATAGCTATTATTACCATCTCTACAGTTAGTATTCATTCTGTACTTACTTTGTACCTCTCTTCTTTTTTTTTTTGAGTTGGAGTCTCACTCTGTCGCCCAGATTGGAGTGCCGTGGCCGCTCCTGGCCACCGCAGCCTCGACCTACTGGGCTCCAGCGATCCTTCCGCCTCAGCATCCCGAGTAGCCAGAATTAC